GTTGGAGGTTGCTGTGAGCTGTGATGCCATGGCAGTCTACCCAGGGGGATAGCTTGAGGCTCTGTCTAAAAAATAAAAAAAAAAAAAATAACTTGGATCCTGTGACTACCCTTGGACCAATCTGTGTGGCCATGGGGAGTAATGCGTGCTCATTGATCTGGCTTTGGCCATGTGCTCTCCCCATGTCCAATCAGGGGATAGCAGTACACCTGTCCAAACCACATTGCTGTGAAGGAGAGGGGATTCCTTAAGGTTAGACTGTTGTTGTTGGCCAAGGGGAAGGGGCAGATGCTTGGCAGGCAGGGACACAGACACTTCTCTCTTTTGCCAGATGTCTAGGACTCCCCAACCCAATTTCTGCTCTGGCAGACTGTTCACATGTGGCACCTCCACAGGACACTCCATTTGAGGCAAGGAGTCCATAGCTTCAAAACACTTGAAAACCAGTGGCCATAGTGTGTCTTCTGGCTCCAAGTGGCTGAGAACACATGACCTTGAATTCTTTCCTCTCCTTGGAACCTGCCCAGACACCCGTGCTTGTTTTCTTCTCCTCTTTCTAGGCTTTATCCCTTCCTCGGCATTCCTCACCCCAACCATGGGTGTAGGAGCCAAAGGATACGAGGTGGGCTCCAGAGGTGGGGTCAGGACAGGGACAGTGGCCTCCCTTCCCTCCCCTGAACCCTGCCCAGTCAGACCCTCAGCACTCCCACCCTATCCCCTCTGGCCCAGCATCAACCAGAACAGTCTTCCCAGGCTCGCTGGGACTTCGGAAGTTTGGCTGAAACCAGTTAGCACTTGGCCCTGACTTTTCCAGTAATGGAGCCCTCTGCCCTGGTCCAGGTCCTGGTCGTTCTGATGGATTTGTTCACCGATGTAGAGATCTTCTGTGACATTCTAGAGGCAGCCAACAAGCGCGGGGTGTTCGTCTGTGTGCTCCTGGACCAGGGAGGTGTGAAGCTCTTCCAGGAGATGTGTGATAAAGTCCAGATCTCTGACAGTCATCTCAAGGTAGGGGCCCCACCAAGAGTCCGAAGGGTACTTGTGTTGATCCAGATAGGATAGACCATGCTGTGGTGACAAAACTCAATGGCTTAACACAATTTCTTGCTCAAAGTCCTGTGTAAGTCAGATGGCCCTCCTCCGTCTTATAGCTATATCATAAGGAATACATGACCACATACAGAGACAGAGGGTTGGAGGATGCTGTAGGAGTCTCTAGGATCAGATTTAGAAGAGATTCCAATACCTTCTGCTCATTGAACACATGATGCAGGGAGGTTGGAACGTGTAAAGGGGTCATGGCTGTCACATACTTCTCATCTCAGCTGGGGAAACCCAGTGGACACACCACACAAGGCAGGCAACCTCCAGGACCCACTGGACATTTGTTTAGAACTCCTGGACTCAAGAGGAATTTGATTATCTTGAACTTAACCAAACCCACCTCTTTTCTCTCCCTGACAGAGAGATAAGGGTTTGGTTGATCACACAAATTTGAGGGCAGCTAATTGAATATAATTTAAATGTAAAACCACTCATATCCTTCATGAAGGGCCCAGCTGAACAGGTGATGGGTGGCCCTCTGGGTTGCTTCGAGGTGTCCCCTCAAGCTCAGGCAGACTGGCCCCTGGGAGAACCTCCTCCATCCCTCTCTTCCCCTTTGCACTGACCAAGGCAGCTGCCTGCAGGGCTCCCTTTGGTACCACAGGCCTCAGGACCACTGACTACTGGGACTTCTTGACATTACCTAGATCACACCTCCTTGGCAAAGGCCATTAAAACAGGTCAAGAGAATCAGTGAGGGCCTTGCTTTCATGGCCCATGAAGTCACACCTGGCAGTGCTCTGTTCACCACAGGACAATGGGTTGTGTCCCCTCCTGTGATCTCACAGAGCTATGGGGAGGCCTGAAGATGCTGCTGGAGGCAGCACTGGGTGTGCCCCTCCCAGAGCGTAGTGGTGTTCCACCTCCTCGGCCTTAACCCTGAGAGAGACTCTCACACTTCACTTGCCCTCTACAGGGTACAACTTGAGGGTACAGGTGCTGCATGGGAGGACAAGGAACAAATGGAGCCATGATTTGGGTTGTGGAAATGTCTTTCCACAGGACCATCTAGGGTCCATTGAGATTCAACAAAGCCAACTCCCCTGGCTGCATTGGGCCTTCCTTCTGACCTCCTCAGGGTCAGGGACTGATGTCACTGAAGCCACTTACAAAGTGGATCTGGATTTGCTTCTGAGTAACTGCCAGACCTCTGTGGTCTATGGATCCACAAGAGGTGGTTTTCTTTTATTTGCTGCCTTGTTTGAATTCTGTACCTTTCCATTTTTTTTTTATTTCCCAGCTGATTGCCAGGGTAATGAAGAAAATATAGACAATTCAGCCAAGGAAAAAATTAAAATGAGAGCCAGGCACTGTGGCATATGCCTGTAGTCCCAGCTACCTGGGAGGCTGAGGCAGGAGGATCACTTGAAACCTAGGAGTTCAAGGCTGCGGTGAGCTATGATAGCACTGCTGCACCCCAGCCTAGACAACAGAACAAAACTCTGTCTCTAAAAACAAAAAATTTTTAAATGGTCCATAATCTCACTAACTAGACCTAACAATATGTCTATCATAGTGACTATTCTTCCAGACTTTTTCCCATGCAAATTGCCATAGTCCATTTGAGCTGTTATAACAGAATATCAGAGTCTAAGTGGTTTTTAAACTATAGAGATTTATTCCTCACAGTTCTGAAGGCTGAGAAGTCCATGATCCAAGGTACTAGCAGATTTGGTGCCTGGTGAGGGCCCACTTCCTGGTCTATAAATGGCCATCTTATCCCTGTGTCCTCACATGGAGAAGAAATGAGACAGTTGTCTTCGGCCTCCTTTATAGGGCACTAATCCCATTTGTGAAGGCACCACCTGCATGCCCTAGTCACCTCCTTATGCCATCACATTGAGGATTAGGTTTCACCATAGAATTGGGAGATACAAACATTCAGTCTATAGGCCAGGCATGGTGGCTCATGCCTATAATCCTAGCACTCTGGGAGGCCAAGGCGGGTGGATTGCTTGAGCTCAGAAGTTTGAGACAAGCCTGAGCAAGAGTGAGACCCTATCTCTAAAAATAGTCAGGCATTGTAGCGGATACCTGTAGTCCCAGCTACTCATGAGGCTGAGGCAAGAGGATCTCTGGAGCCCAAGAGTTTGGGGTTGCTGTGAGCTATGATTCTGCCAAAGGTGACAGAGTGAGGCATTGTCTTCTAAAAAAAACTCAGTCTATAGTCCAAATGTATATTACAAACATGTAATTAGTAAGGGACACTTTGACTTTCCTTCTGACAGAACATTTCCATCCGGAGTGTGGAAGGAGAGGTGTACTGTGCCAAATCAGGCAGGAAATTTGCAGGACAAATTCAGGAGAAGTTTATCATCTCAGACTGGAGGTTCGTTTTGTCTGGATCATACAGGTGAGCACTGGATTCATGTCCTGTCAGACTTCATGGAGACCAAGGGAGGTCTGAGCCAGGTTAGACCAACCCCTGCAGCTAAGCCCCACATACCACCAGCAGCTCCCGGGAAGCTTCCCTTCCACCCAGAGCTGGAGCCTCATATAGATGGGGTGGGGAGCAGGAAATCTGGACCCTTCTTGGGAGGAAGAAGAGTTATTTCCAAGTGCTTCAGTTTCCCTTGATATTTCAACCGGACATAGAATCCTCTTTTTCCCTCCTCTGGTATCTAAGACATGGTTATAAAGTGATGTAATTTGTTTAGCTGTGTATGTGTGTGCCCGTTTCATTTGCATTTATTACTTTAATATACATTTATTGAAATTTATTAATTCAAATACCATACAATTAGTCAATTTGTAGCGTGCAATGCAAAGGTTTTTAGTATAATTCACAGAGTTGCACAACCAGCGCCACAGTCAATTCTAGAACATTGTCACCATCCCCTACAGCAGTGCTTCTCAGCCTGCGGATCCTGACCCCTTTGGGGGTCAAATGACCCTTTCCTAGGGATCGCCTAAGACCATCCTGCATATCAGAGATTTACATTATGATTCATAACAGTAGCAAAATTACAGTTAATGAAGTAGCAACAAAAATAATTTTATGGTTGGGGGTCACCACAACATGAGGAACTGTATTAAAGGGTGGCGGCATTAGGATGATTTGCATTTCCCTGATGGCCAAGGATGTTGAGGTTTCTGCTTGTTGGTCCATTGCACGTCTCCTTTGGAGAAATGTCTGTACAGATTCAGTTCATTTTTAGGCAGTCACACAAAGGCTCCTGCATCCAAATGACAGACCATCCGTTTCTCTAACAATGCTGCCTTACTTGAGTTTTTGAGACTTGATTTCAGAGTTTAAAGGAGATTCTTTTAAATGTTCCTCTTGGCAGCACTAGGGAAGCAGATTGGCTAGTGGGTTTTAGGGAGTGATAAAATGAGATAGCAGTCAAGGCGGGGCAGAACAACCTAAGGTCATTTGGGGACATTTTATGGAGGAAGGCAATGAATGTGACAAAGAGAGCAGAGGGGACAACTGATTGCATCTCATCTCATTCCGTCTGCTACAAATACTAGCAGAGAGACAGCACTGGGATAAACTGGGAGTGAGAGGTGGCATCCAGGGAGTGATCAGGGGACTGGTGTGTGCCTTAAACATGCCGTCTTTCCCCAGGGACCAGGAACCTGAGATACTCTTATAAACTGGGGGGGGGGGGGCAACTACAAAATCTCTAGCCAGGGACAGATGAGCATAAAGGGAAAGAGAGAAAGGAAAAGAACTCTTGCATTTAAATATGCTTTCTTTAACCTTATTAGTGCCTTTTAGCTTAAATCCTACTTTTTATGATATTAAAACTGCTACCTTCTAAAAGGTATAAATCTCTGCTCAGGCCAGACACCAAAGTGGTTTAAAGGTGGAAGGGATACAGACAGCCTGGGCTCATGTCTACTAAGCTCCTCACTTTCTAAACCATGCAGGTGACTTAACCACCTCCAGCCTCATTCTCCTCATCTGTACAATGGGTATAACAATACCTGTCCTCACAGGTAGGCTAAATGACATAAACCCAGAAGAACACATGTCATAGCTCCTGTCACACAGTAGGTGCTCAATAGATAGTTGCTGTCAGCTGTCAGCCAGCCAATACCCTGACAAGGACCTGAGGTAGGAAGTGGGGACACGGGACAGTCAAGATCCTGTTTGTGAAGGGTTATCAGGCAGAGCAGGCTTGGGGGAGGGGAGGGTGACATAGTCCCAAGAAGATGAGGGCACCAAGACACCCTTCCTCTTACTTCAGAGGAAGGGCTTCAGAGGCCAGGGCTTGCCGAGTTGTCACAGAGCATCTTGGAAAGATGGTAGGAGTAACCCTCTGGGACCCCAATGAATTCCCAGGCGCTTCTCCATCTCTAGTCGGTGGCTTCTCTGATAAAGCATCTCTGAATTCCTCTTATGGGACCTATGGCTGGTGCTAGGGTCTAGAAGAGGCCGAGCCTGGCCCAGCAGCCAGATGACCTCGGTTCAGTTCCCAACTCTGCAGCTGCCTGCCGGGTGACCTCAGGCAAGTCTCTGCACCCCTCTGTTGGTTCTTTCATTCCACAGCTGTTCAGAGAGCCTGCCAGATCCACACCCTCCATGTTTCAGGGCTGGGGGGTGCCCTGCTGGCGGCCACACTCAGAGCAGAGAGGGAAACAAGAGTCAGATAAACAGAAAGGGAACGATGCCCAGAAGGAGTGATGAGAGTACAGAGAAACAAAGCGAGGCTGGAAGGACCGGGAGGGTGGACTGCAGCTCCTCAGGGCCTCGCCCCCTCAGCTGTGCGGGGAGACCTGTGCCCCCACTGGAGCCTGCAGTGGAAGCTGAGTGGGGACCAGGAAACACTGTCCTCTCATGAGTAACGTGGGGGTGGGGGCCGTGAGCTGCAGCTTCTGTCCTCATGCCCCCACCTCGCCCAGGACGCCCTGTGGACGAAGGTGGAGCCCACCCAGTTCTGGTTCTCCGGCCTCCCTCCAGCCCCCACTGTGCTGCTGTAAGAGGCTAGGTGAGGTGAGCTGCCCTCCCCCAGTGGCCAAAGCTGCTTTGCCAGGCTTTTGTCCCATCCCTGGAGACCTACAAAGGACTTTGAGTAGCAAGCGAATGAAGCTTGGAGTCGGGGCTCAGCCTAAAACCTCAAACTCAGGACTTGAGCCTTCTGACCGTGACCGAGCCACACTGGACCTGTCAGGCACATCTCATCTGATTCAGGGATCCTGGGGGGTGGAGGCGCTGCACAGAGGGGCCCTGTTGCTGTGGCAGGTTATCCTCAAGATGCTGCCTTTTCTTTTATGTGGTGGGTGCCTAAGTGCCAACTACCTTATTTTAATAACTAGATAGTTAAGTAAATAAAGATAGGCCATGAACAGACCCCAAGGAGAATTTAGTCATGGGCCAGCTTATGATTAAGTGAATTTTATGTACTTAAGGGCCAAAACCAATAAAAACTCAGTGTAGTTTTCCCCCTTACTTCAAGTAAGTGTAGCCACTAAAGCACACGATGCACAGACATGTGAGGGACCGTGGTTGCACAGAGCCCCGGGCAGGACACACCTGGGAGACACACAGATGCACAGAGGCCTGAGGAGCTGTCAGGAGGACTTCAGACTTATTTTTTTGTGCAAAGCTGCAGCTATTGTGCTTTCAGCCCAGTTCCAGGCAACACAGGGCAAGTCCCTCTGTGCTGTGCTGGTGGTCACCTCCTTCACGACTGGTCCCAGAGTCACACGCTTACCTCTGCGGACATGGGGGGCTCCTGAGTCAGTGAAGTTTAAACAAAGCCTCATTGTTATTCCCAGGATCATGAGCCCTGTGCACCCTGCCCTGCTTCATGGAGCAGGGAACCCCCCTACCCGGGCTGGGGCCAGGCCTCTAGCTGGCAATAAAGGCAGGAAGGGGACTGAGAAGTCCATCACTGGGGGGCCTGTTTTTGCTCAGCTCAGGTGCTATCCCCTTGGCAACTCTGTCCCCATGACCATCCTTCGCCCATTACTTCAGGGTCACCTGAGTGGGGACCTAGCAATCTTCAGCCTGATGCTCTTGGTAGGTCTGTCTCTGCTGTCACTGGATTTTCAAGGATTGAGGGCAGTTGGGAGGACGAAAGGAGTTTATCATCAGAGACAGAAGAGAATTTGGTTAAATCTGGAAATACATAAGAAGTAATAAATGCCTTAAGTATTTTGTTTTCATTTAAAAACTTCAAAGCAGGGGGTAAGGCCTTTCCTTGAGAGTCTCCTCTTGTCATGGATGTTTAGGTGACTTTCTTGCATAAACCACACCTACCAGGGACCCTGTGGTTCCTGTGGGCTCTCTCTGTGTCCCTTTCTCTGTACTCCCAAAAAGCACATCATGTTCCTTTTCCAGATCATCCCTGCTGGGTCCATGTGCCTGAAAATGGGGCTAAATCCTCTCTCAAGAAAAAGTTAGAGTTTCATGAAAATACAGCCTGTGCTTCCAGGGAGCAGCCATTTTTTGCAGGTGCTTTCTCCAGACCCTTGTGCCATTAGAGGAGGTGGTGTCCCCACACCCACACTCACCTGAGCACAGTCAGGGCAGCTGGGACTCAGCCCCTTCCTACTTCCTCAATCTGAGCACCTGGATGACACCCCCAGTGTTGTAATATTCCTTTGCAAATATGTCCTGATTTCTGGGCCTCAGTTTTTATCATCTGTAAGATGGGGATAACAACCTCTCCCCCAGGAGTTTCTGTGGGATGAGATACACCTGCACAGGGAGGGACCCCTCATTCCCTGCCCTGAGGGGTCCTCACAACTCCCTGCCCTAGTAGCCCAGGAGGATTGTGGCCAGGCATGACCTCCTTCTCCTCATCCTCTCTTCTCTTCCCCTGCAGCTTCACCTGGCTCTGCGGTCATGTCCACCGGAACATCCTCTCCAAATTCACAGGCCAAGCGGTGGAGCCGTTTGACGAGGAGTTCCGCCACCTCTATGCCTCCTCCAAGCCTGTGATGGGCCTCAAGTCCCCCAGGCTGGCTGCTCCCCTCCTGCCTGGAGCCAGCCACAGCCTCCCCAGTGGCCTCAGCAGCAGCCACTCAGCCAGTGACCGCACGTCCTCCGACCCCTTCAGCAGCCCATCAACGGACAGCCACCCTCACAACCAGAGTCTGTCCACATCCTCTGGGCCTGGCAGTCCCGGGACCCCAAACCCACCTCCACCACCCCGCATTCAGCCCTACCACAGCCCATGGGGAGCGCTAAGTCCCCAGGCCCACTTCTGCCCCCGGCCCCACAATGGCCCGCCTGCCCTCTACAGCAACCTCAATGCCTACAGGCCTACGCGGCTACAGCTGGAGCAGCTCGGCCTGGTGCCAAGGCTGGCTCACACCTGGAGACCCTTTCTGCAGGCCTCTCCTCATTTCTGAAGGGTCTCTATCCCCAGCCACCCTTCCCGGAGCCAGGGCTGGACATTCCTGGATTTTCTGGCCAAAAGACTCCACCTGAATGACTAGCAGTTTTGAATTACTTATCTTTGAAGAGGAACTCAGATGAAATTGTTGCCTTTGTTAGAATGATACCAAGCCTGAGACCATCTATTTGCCCACCCCTGCCCATCCCTGGGTTCCCCTCTGTAGTTTGGCCTGTGCAACACATTCCAGAAGGTTCCAGAGACATAAGGGAAGCTGGAGGGCAAAATCATGACAACTGTCCAGGTGCAGTGGCTCATACCTGTAATCCAAGAGCTGTGGAAGGTCAGTCCAGGCGTTTGAGACCAGGCTGAGCAACATAGCAAGAACCTGTCACTGAAAAAAATAGATGGCAGGTGCCTATACTCCCAGCTACTCAGGAGGCTGAGGCAGGAGGATCAATTGAGCCCAGTAGTTTGAGATTGCGATGAGCTGTGATTGTACCGCTGGGTGACAAGCAAGACCCTGCCTACACAAATAACAAAAAATCATGAAAAGAGATTCCCTGTCTTCCAAAAGTCATCCAATATTTTTTTCTTTCTTTCTTTCTTTCTTTCTTTCTTTCTTTCTTTTTTTTATTAAACGATAGCTGTGTACATTAATGTAATCATGGGGTACAGTGTGGTGTTTTCACATACAATTTGAAAGTCATCCAATGTTTTAATATTAATAGTCCCCAAATTTCTGTAATATCAGAAAGGGCAAATGCAACCCAAGTTTTACAAATGGGTACACTGAGGCAGTAAACATCAGTGAATGGGTTGAGCACTTCTGTTTTCTAGTGCACAAGAATGGTTCCCTCGCCAGAGATGAGGGAAAGATTCAGGAGGAAATGTGGGAACATTCTGGATTTTCTGAAAGAGTTGGAGAAATTCCTCCTCCCCGGAAAGACTAATCCTGGGGCAGCCCTGCCTGATGAGTCAGGGATGAGGCCCCAGAACTTGTGTCTGTAAGTTGTGTGGGCTGTTTGGCTCTGTAACTGCCAGAGATGGGGCAAGCTGAGGGGCGGGGGGTCAGACCAGGCAGTGTAGCAGATGAGAGTTCTTGTTTCCCAGAGCCTTGAGCTGGCCCAGAGGTCCCTAGAGTCTGGGCTGGACCCAGGGGCTTGAGTTGTCCGGGTCTGAGAATGGCACTGTGGCGGGGCCTGGGCCAGCCTTGAGTGACCCAGGTACAGCCAGCCTCTCCACATCCAGGGGCCTCTATCTGGCCTGCTCACCTCCTGCCCAGCCCATCATTCACTCCTTCTCAATGCACAGTGCCCGCTGTTCCCGGGGGGTGCTAGCCCCTGACAGCACAGCCTCACTGGGGGTAAAGAAGGCAGGATGCTCAGAGGGAACTAGGGCGCAGCCGGCCCAGCTTGGGAGACCAGGGGATGCTTCCTAGAGAAACTGACACTTAACCCTACGCCTTAGTTGGGAGTCATAGCTGGGGCAGCGAGATGTGATCCAGGCTGGGCCAGCTGGAGGGAAGCTGATGCCAGGGCCCCACATCCTCCTCCCCATTCCCACGCACTCTCCTGCCACCAGCAACTCATCTCAGCAAATGTCTTCTCTCCTACTTGTTTTTTTGCCTGGAAGCTCGGCCTTTGCTGTGGGGGCCTGAGAGCAGCCTGACTCCCAACAACCTGTGGCATCCTGTCCAGTCCCGCTCTGCCATCCACCCTCCATTCTGATTTGTCTGATGTTTTTGGCAAAGGCAGGGCCATCTTGGCTTCTGTTTTTTTTTTTAATTTTTATTTTTATTTGTATTCCTATCTTTACTTTACTTTTTTTCCTTCTTATTTCCTGAAAATAAAACACAAAACCAAAACACAGACAACACTTTGGTTCCTAATGGTTTTTTCCACCCCACCCTGACACTGCCCAGCTGCCTGGTAAGAAGTTAGAATTCGGGGCTCTGCTGCGCATTCTAAATTGGATTTCACAGTCTGCTGAGAAAGTGTAAGGAAGGTGAAGCTTGATGAGATGACATAAGCTCCCAAAGCAGCATTCCTAAGGCCTCCTCAGCCTGTGTCTGCACTGAGCTCAGTCCTGGGGGACCGGGGCAACCTCATAGCTGGGGACAAGCCCCCTACTCCCAACCACTCACCACCAGCAGCTTCTCTTCTGGGTACCTGCAACATGGTGACACTGCCTGCTGGGAGGTGGTCTGGGGTGACTAGTGCAGTGTAACAGAGGGTTGTTTCCAGCGGCAGCTCCGAGGGCCTGGGTAGAGGTCGCCACATAGGGCACTCTCAAGCTGAAGCCCTCCTCTGCCAGCCAAATTCTAAGTTTGAGCAGGATTCTGTTCGCGACTCCCACCCACCCACCACAATGGATATGTAGTATGAGCAAGAAATACACGTGAGTTGTTTGGGCCCAGAGAGTCGGGAGCTGTCTCTCTCTGCACCACAACCCAGCCTTGCCTCACTGATACAACCTTTGAGACCCACTGACTCAGGCTGGGCCAATCCTCTGTGAGACCGATTCCCTGGGACCCCAGCCTGGGGCTCTCTTCCCCAGATACCATGCTCACCAGACAACCAGGAGTGTTTTTACGTGCCTGGCAATGGGGAGGCCAAAAGCCAGAACAAGTCCTAATCCAACTTTCAACTCCTACCTAACCTGGCCTCGCTCCACCTTTAATTCTGCCCCGGGTTATAATCACACCTGACCTCCCTTGCCAGGGCCTGCTTGCTAGAGGCTGTCCTTAAACATAGAGTCCCTACTACAGCATGATGTTCAATGGCAACGGAGCATCTCCCGCGGGCCAGGCACCGAGGCAGCACCCGGCCATGCGTGTCTCTGCCCCAGAGAGCTGCAAGGGCAGAGAGAGCTGGCTGGGGTGGACCTGTGTGCAAACCACTGCTGTAAAGAACCTAAGAGGATGAAAGAAAGAGTGTGAGAGTCATTTTCAGCGGGGCACAGTAGAAGGGGTGCTTCACCTACAGACAAGTGCATCCCCCAGCTGGGGATTGGGGCTCACGGTACCTACCTGCAGGATTATAGTTGCAAGTGATCAGGCCTCCACACAAACTCTCCATCCAAGAAATCTTCTGTTGCATTCACTTGGTCCTTGGGAGATACTGATGTTGGATCTCTCCAGAGGCCTCAGTAAACACTGCGGGATGCTGGGACAGTGCCAATGACAGTCCAAGTGCACAGTCAATGCTCCTGGTCACACACTGCTGAGCTCTGCTCCCACAGGGAACATGACGGCTCAGATACCCCGGTACCTCCCTCACTCTCCTTTCTCCAGACACAGGGAAAGAAGGTGCCTGGTGCCCCCAACTTCACTTGGTGGCCCTACTTCCACCTGTTATAAAAGTGCCAGAGCACTTCATGTTTGAAGTGCTTCATTTTTTGAAGTTGATCCAAGAAGCTGTTGGACACAAACTGTCACTCACTTTCTCAGCTTCCTCCTGAAGAGTCTGCGTGTCAGAAAAACTGTTACTAGTGAATGTAAATATCACAGGCCTGTGCAGGCATAAACACGGCCTCCTCGCTGTTGTCGCTCACTGTGTTTTGTTGGAGGCAGACATATCGTTTCTCAGGGTGTGCCATCCTTCTTTCCCTTGTAGGGTGTGGTGACAGAGCATGTGCAGACCGGGGAGTGGACAGAGAGGCCCAGAAGGAAGGCCACAGCGTGGTGGTGCAGTGTGTGCACGGGGACCGGCAAGTCCAGCCGTAGCTGTGTGTTCTGAGGCTGTCCACACCTGGGTCAGGCAAGGGTCCTTCTGCAGAGTCACACAAAGGCACCCTCTAGGCTGGTGGCCTACTGATTTCTGAACCCTCCCACTGAAAGTCCAGTGAAGAATCCCCAAGCTCTCTGAGCCCATCTTTCCTGTCTCACCTGAAAAGCACCAGCAGACTGCTCCCTTGGCCTCAGGAATGTCGAGGGGCAAACCGTGGAGGTGAGGAAGGTGCTGCAGACTGAGGAAAGGGGCAGCCGAGAGAAAAGGGAGCTCCCTGTTTGGAAGGGGGTGTGCCACTAGGACTTCCGTAACATCAACACCAGACTGGGAAGCTGAAACAGCAGAAATTTATTTTCTCACAGTTGTGGAGGCCGGAAGTTGGAGATCAAGGGCCAGCAGGGGTGGGTTCTTCTTGGCCTCTCTCTCTGGCTTGCAGACGGCTGCCCCCACGTGCTCACCCTCTGGGCGTCCCTGAGCCTCCAGTCTCTTCTTCTTTTTCTTTTCTTTTTCTATTTATTTATTTATTTATTTTGAGATGGGATCTCACTATACTTATATCGCCCAAGCTGTTCTCAAACTCCTGGCCTCAAATGATCCTCCCACCTTAGACTCCCAAGTAGCTGAGACGACCAGCGTGAGCCACCACGCCCAGCTCCATCTCCTTTTCTTATTAGATTAGGAGTTTAAGGAGCTGTGTGCAGATGCCAAGTTGACAAGGGGTGGACTTAAGATGGCTAATTTTTGTGTCAACTTGACTGGGCCATGGAGTGCCTGGATAGTTGCACAAACATTATTCTAAACATTTCCCTGAGAGTATTTCTAGGTGATATCAACACCTGACTTCACAGACTGAGTGAAAGCAGCTTGCCCTCCGCACTGTGGGCAGGCCTCATCCAGGTAGCTGAAGGCCTGAAAGAACAAAAAGATCAACCTTCACCCGAGTAAGAGAATTCCTCCTGTCTGATGGCCTTCAAATTGGGACACTGAGTTTTTTTTCTTACCTTTGAACTTGAACTGAAACATCAGTTCTTCCTGGGTTTCAAGCCTGCTGGCCTTCATCGTGGACCTGCGCCATCAGCTCTCGTGGGTCTCCAGCTTGCTGACTTATTCTGCAGATCTTGGGACCTGTCAGCCTCTGTTATCACATGAGTCAATTCCTCTGAATAAATTTCTTTCTTCCATGTATAGGGTGGCTATAAATTCCATGTGAACTTTATGGCCACCCTGTATATACACACATACACACATACAGTAGAACTTCCACAGGTGCCCACCTCCCTGCACT